GGCATGAGAAACCCTCGCGCTGTTAATGGAATAATCTTTGGCTGTAATGCTGCTCGCAGGAACCACAGAGTGTACTGATGAATTAAGAATCCGTTTTGTGCTTAACCTGAGGGGCTGAAAACTGAAGTATTTACGGTATAATTCATGTAAAACGGCAGTATAACAATCCCAAATGACTATTTTTTAGCTGTATTTTGCTCTGTTGGGCTGCAGAATCCAGTATTTAAATTCCTGTGTAGTGCACTATGTAGGGAGCAGGGAGCCTTTTGAGATTTAGCCCCAGCGCGAGAAGAGGGCGCCGCTGGATTGGTGCTAAATAAGACTCCCAGTGGTAATTTGGTGACCGAATAGTACTTGTAAAGTGAAGGTTTTTGCGTTAAACAGTGCTGATATCATATGTTCATTCTTATAAGACAAAAAGTTAAAAAATCCATGAAATGACTGCAACAAACAGCAGTGGGCGACTAAACGTTCTCCTCATTCAGCGGTACATGGTTGCTTGGCAACAATACCGTACTCTAAAGGAGCTACGTTTCTTGGTGGAATACTTGTTTGTGTCTTTTATTATTAATAATAACTTTATAACTGTATTATAATAATAACAATATATGACAACTGAAAAATTGTGTGTTTTATCAGCTTTTGTGTTGGCTGCCGTTTTGCAAAAGCAATAAGCCACTTGTGGCCGTGCATTACTGTGATTTTGTCACAGGTAAGGGAGTTTTAAGATCTAAGAACACCTTTCCCATGATAAAATCGCAGTAACTCAAAGCCTCTCGAGGCTATTGCTGCATTTACACTGTTCCGGCGTGTCAGCAGACATGAACGCACTCCCCCTCTTCAAAGACGTTCCCTGTGTCATATATTTTAAAATGTTGGGGTTTAAAATTGTTTGGAGCTTTTCCTCCACCAGAACATTTGAATACAGAGCGAATGTTTTAGACATTGCATTGTGAACACTTATCACGCAAACACCAGCTATCTTCTGATTGGATAGATGCATTGCGTTGGCCGGATTAATCTGCATAAAGTTCAGCTCGGCTCAACTTTTTGCAGCACCACATGCCCCAGACTCTTCACGCCGGATCCATCATGCACTATGCCTGGCGGAACCGACGCTTTCCATTGAAAACGAATGGGATACGTTGCGGTGCCTCGACGCGTGGAGCAGTGTAAATGCAGCCTGTAACACTCTCAGGAACGTTCTTTGTAACTTTCTAGCATTCTGGAATTTGAGAAATGTGGACACTTACAATGTTCTCAGAACGTTCCGAATGTTCCAAACGTCCCTAGAAGTTAAACTGTCATTACAAACGAGGTTGAGGTAACATTCTTTGGAACATTCTCTCCTAGAACATTCCAAATGTTCCAGTTGTTTCTGTGTGTTAAACTATCATCACAAGTGAGGTTAACTTTCAGGGGGATGTTCTTCCAACTTAAGTAATTCCGAATAAACGCTCGTACATCGTTAAACTGTTCTTGTAAATGAAGTTGAAGCAAGAATGAAGTGCTTCTAGAATGAAGTGTTTTTAGAACATTGAATTAATTTTGCTTTAAGAGTTTTTGTTCCTAACATTCAGGGAATTTTTGTGTTGTTTTAGCCAAAGTTCTGGGAATGTTCTCTGTTAACTGGCTATGTAGTGTTTTTTTTTCTTACAGGCCTGGAGAAATGGAGTGTGGCTGTAAACCACAGCACTTTGTGTGACACACACACACACACACACACACACACACACACACACACACAGGTGTTGCCAGTGCTCCACATTTAGAAAGGCATGCCTCTTACACAGTGATTCATGTTATGAGCAAGACGTGAAACCTTCTCACTCACTCATCACTTTGTTAGAATTGACATCATCTCCTCACATAGAGTATAGTATCTCTCTCTCTCTGTCACTCTTTCCCCTCTCGCTCTCTCTCCCTCTCCTCTCTCTCTCTCTCTCTCTCCCTCTCTCTCTCTCTCTCTCTCTATATATATATATATATATATATATATATGTTACTTTCTCTCTTTCCTATTTCTCCTCCCCCTTTGTCTATCTCTCCTCCCTCTCTTTCCCCTCTCTCTCTCTCTCACTCTCTCTCTCTTCCCCCCTCTCTCCCTCCCTCTCTTGTGTTTTTTCTCTCACTCTCTCTCTCATTCTCTCACTCTATCACTCATTCTCTTTCTCTTTTCTCTCTCTCTCTTTCTCATTCTCTCACTCTGTCTATCACTCTTTCTCTTTTCTCTCTCTCTCGCTCTGTCTTTTACTCTGTCACTCTTTTTCTTCTCTCTCTCTCTCTCTCCTCTCTCTCCCCCTCCCTCTCTCTCCCTCTCTCTTTCTTTGTCTCATTCTCTCTCCTCTCTCCCCCTCTTCTCTCTCTCTCTGTCTCTCTGTCCGCTCTCTCTCTCATTCTAGCACTCTTTCTCTTTCCTCTGTCTCTCCTCCCTCTCTCTCTCATTCTTTCTTCTCTCTCTCTGCTCTGAGGTGTTTTATGGCTCATTACACTGTCAGAGGTTTGATTGACAGCTGGGGTGGGTGTGTCATGAGGAGCTGGGCTGCAGATGTTGAAGCAGCTGGAACAGTGTGTGTGTCCGTGCCCCTGCAGCGCTGGTGTGTGTCTCTCATCAGGAACACATTAGCGTGGTGTTAGATAGGAGGGGTGTGTGTGCGAGTGTGTCATTCCAACACAAGTCCTCACACTCCGAACAGCGCAACAGGAACAGCAGAGGATAACGTCAGCCTGAACCCAGTGGCCTCACTCAAGTGTGGGTGTATGTGTGTTGGTTAGTGTTGCATCCAGGGTTTGAATTAAGGTTCCTGAAGCTCCCATAAGAGAAAAGGACCAAACTGAACTTGGGGTCCAGTGATAAAATGTGATTTTTTTGACAAAACGAATGCCCTTACATGAAGCGATCGTCTACTTTCCTACTCTTTCATCATGTTCAACAATAAGGCCAATTTATAGTCTAGGCGACAGGTGTCACTCGACAAATAATACTGTAGTCGACAGATGTCGCAGCGCTGTAGGCTTTCATAGTCCTGCGCCAGCGACACAACATCAGAATAGAACATCATCTGTAGTTTCTATGAAAACTTGTATATGACGATGCAGCTAATTAAACAGTAGTAAAACCACACAGAACAGTCTGAAAACAGCTGCTACAGTCAAACTGCATTAACAGTAGGATTTTAAGCCCAGGGTCGCTAAGGCAACCAGAAACACTACTTTTCCGCACTTGTTGCATTTCACTCGTGAGCTCTTTCTCTGTCAGGCAGGGTTGCCAGATTCTTGGTTTTCCCAAAAATGCCGGTTAGTCTGAAAATGCAGTGTGGGGAGAAATTACACTGTCACGGGGGGCGTTTTCTGCTTGGACTGCTTCTTAAAGTAATTGCAGTCTCTGAAAAATGTTTGAAAATGAAAACAAATAATCATAAAATCTGTATTGATCCTAGTTCTGAATAGTTGGCAACCTGTTCTGTTTCTGAAAGCAGAGGAGCAGCGAGACGTTAAACACAGCCTGCACCATCCAGAGCATAGAACTTCGAGTTTCTGTCCAATCAGAGTGTGCGACAGCGTCTGTGTCCCTCTCAGATTTTTTGATGTACGAGACAAGATCTGCGACACCCTAGCAGACACAAATTTTGTCTCTTTTACATACATTTTTGTCGAGCAACGTTTGTCACCTGGACTATAAATTGGCCTTTACACTCCCCCTAGATAAACTGTAAAGTTGCCCAGCCTAAATTCATAACAAAAGTTTATTGTCAAGTTTACAGTGAAGATGCCAAAACCTGAGAAAAAGGTTGACTATCAGACCTGCTTGCTAGGTCTTCTTGTCAGCTTCTGAAGGCCACTTCGTGCTGGGCCACTGCACACCAGTCGCTTAGCAGAGACAGTACAAAGAATAAACATAGAATATGTTTGAACTGTAGTGAACAGAAGAGCAGGATGCACAACACATCCAACTTTGAGGTGGAAGGGCTACAACAGCAGAGGACTGCATCAGGTTCCACTTCTGTCAGCCAAGAACGGAAAGCTGATGCTGCAGTGGGCTCAGACTCACCAGAACTGGTCTGATGAATCTCTGTTTCTGCTGAGGCACACAGATGGAAGGGTCAGAATTTAGTGCCACTAGCATGAACCCATGGCCTGCCTTGTGTCAACAGTCCAGGCTGGTGGAGGTGGTGTAATGGGAATGTTTTTTTGGCACATTTTGAGCCTTTGAGTGTTGTTGCTGACCATTTGCAGCCCTTCATGGCCACTATCTATGATAATGATGTCACAAAGCAAAAGTCGTCTCAGACTGGTTTCCTGTGCATGACAGTGAGTTCTGTGTTCGGTGGCCTTCCCAGGTACTGGATCTGAATCCAATAGAACACCTTTGGGATGTGGTAGAACGGGAGGTTCTCAGCATAGCAAAGTGCACTTGAAAAATCTGCAGGAATTACATGGTGAAATCATCCCAACATGGACCAGAAACAGCAAAATTACTGTGAAGGTCAAGTGTGAACAGAATCCGATACATTACCAAGAAAAAATAGTGATGTCTTTACGACAGCTAGGAAAGTAAAATGTTTAACTTTTCAGGTTTTGTGAGTAAAATATCCATTTTGTACACAATTCTAATGCCATACTACTCAAAAAAGCAGCAAAATCTGCCCCTTTCATGGTTCAAGGATGACCAGCTAAGGCAAATTTCAAGTGTAAGCCACAGTAAAATACAGCCAGCCTGTTGATGTATCTGTTGTGGAAGGACACATTTTTTAGACAGGCTGTTTAGAGAGTCCAGAGCTCACGTTTAGCTTCCACTAGCTGCTGATTCTGACCTGAGCTGACAGCATGTTCCAGAAGGGAACAGCCCTGTGAATATTCACACAAAGAGTGCACAAACTGTTCTCTCTATTAAATTCCTCATTGGGACAGTCTATCAGATGCTTTCAGATGAGCCTGATCCCTTAATAGGTTCAGTAGACACGTGTAACCACTGCTGCCGTCTGTGTTCTCTCTTCCAGACATCAATGAGTGCCAGCTGCAGGGAGTTTGTCCTAATGGGAACTGCATCAACACTGTGGGCAGCTACAGGTGCTTGTGTAAGCCTGGCTTTATACCGGACGCCACACTGACCACCTGCTACCGTGAGTTCTCTTCTCTTCTCTTCTCTTCTCTTCTCTTCTCTTCTCTTCTCTTCTCTTCATATTCCTTCTCTTCTCTTCTCCACATTCATTCTCTTCTTTTCATTCTTTCTCTTCTCTTCTCTTCTCTTCTCTTCTCACATTCCTTCTCTTTACATCTCTTCTGTTCTCTTCTTCCATCTTCACATTCCTTCTCTTCTCTTCACTTCTCTTCACTTCTCTTCTCACATTCCCTCTCTTTACATCTCTTCTGTTCTCTTCTTCCATCTTCACATTCCTTCTCTTCTCTTCTCTTCTCTTCTCTTCTCTTCTCTTCTCTTCTCTTCTCTTCTCACATTCCTTCTCTTTACATCTCTTCTGTTCTCTTCTTCCATCTTCACATTCCTTCTCTTCTCTTCACTTCTCTTCTCTTCTCTTCTCTTCTCTTCTCACATTCCTTCTCTTTACATCTCTTCTGTTCTCTTCTTCCATCTTCACATTCCTTCTCTTCTCTTCTCTTCTCTTCTCTTCTCACATTCCTTCTCTTTACATCTCTTCTGTTCTCTTCTTCCATCTTCACATTCCTTTTCTTCTCTTCACTTCTCTTCTCTTCACTTCTCTTCTCTTCTCTTCTCTTCTCACATTCCTTCTCTTTACATCTCTTCTGTTCTCTTCTTCCATCTTCACATTCCTTCTCTTCACTTCTCTTCTCTTCTCTTCTCTTCTCTTCTCTTCTCTCTACCTTTCTCCTTCCCTGTCTGTTTTCAGTCTGCTGGTCAGATCTGTTTGTACACTCACTGTTGTCCTTGTGAAACGTCCATGCTTGCAAACATATGACTGTCCTGATAAATAAATCATTACTACACTGTTAGAGAGCTCATATATACACATACCTGCCATGTACATGTGTACAGTAAGTTTCGTAGCGAGAGCATCTCTCTCCTTCTCTCTCTTCATCATGTTTGAGAGTGTTGAAGAAACTGTGATATTGAGCTGATGCTTTGGAGCTGGAAGAGCCTTCAAATGCTAACAGATGATTGTGGTGCAGCAGTGTGAATCATCTGAGTACAGGAATCTTCTGTGTGAGAATCAAATCCTGTATCACAGAGCAGTCACAGAGACGCCCGCTCCCCGCACCAACACTCATTCGCACGGCAGTAACCTGAGTACGCTCTCTGTGTCTCTCTGATGAATATTAAACGCAGCAGATGTTATATCGCCGCTGAAGAGTGTTTTGGAAGTGCCAGATGACAGTTTTGGAACGGGCTGTCGTGACCTTTTGTTCTGACGAGGATGAAAAGAAACATTCTCTCTTCTTTCTCCTCAGCTTTTTCTGGGCCTGTATGTCTGGAGATGCAGCGTGTAGGGATGGCTTTTTTAACACCTGTCCAGCGAAACACAACCGAGTCAACTTCAAGCGACAGTTATTTGAAAAAGCCAATTTGCACAGTTTTTCTTTACTCTGTTTATCTAAGATTTGTTTGGTGTCTAAAGTTTGCTACTTTTACCCTTTGCCCTTACCTTTACAAAGGTATGGACAAATTTCAGGCAAGTAAACACAGATAAAGCAACATACAAACAGTGCAAGCCACGCTAATGTTCTCGCTCTCGCTGTCTAGTGAAGTAGTTTGCTTTGTTTCCGAGGCAACAGACATAAAGGAACAGCTGGTCTCTTGGGGTTTTTAGCTATGTAAGTATGTCACACGGTGTCAGCAACTCTATTTGAGATTACTTAACTTACTTAACAACATGCTTTGAGGCAGTTGTGCCCCTTTCACAGATGATCTTTTACTTTAAAGAAATGGCTGGTCTTTTAGGGTTAGCCTTAACCTAACATGGACACCAGACCAATTGCCATCCTTCCTCTAGTATTGCTTCAGAAGCTGCCTGACTCAGTCAGCTGCATCAGATGACACTGGGCCTTGTGCGCAAAACGAGCTGAGGAGCAGCTGGTACTGATAACGGGAATGACTGTAATATTTTCCAAATTCCAGCAGTGTCTGACAGTCAGAAGCATGACTATATGGGACGCGCATATGAGAAAAATGAGCTGAGGAATTCTATGAAGCTAATGTTGCCTTCTTATTTAAAATTCCCATTCCACCTTAAATGATGCAGCATCATTTGAAGTGGAATGAAACTGACCTGAAATGGCCCACCATCACCTAAACCATCAAATTAAACCTGACAGGATAGTGCCTTTTACCATGTAGTGACAAAATAACCATAATTCGAGAATGGATAAATGAAATTTAATGTAATAGATCAATCAGCTGCCCAAAATTAAGTTTAAATTCTGTAAACCTGTACAGGCGCCAGAATGTAACTGCTGATCCACTTAAGGTGGAATGGAAAAGTCGAACAAAACATCTGCAGAATATGAAGGCAAATTCAGCCTTGTAGAAATCAATAAATGAAACAACATTTAGCACCGCACTCTTGGAAAGCAAGTTATTTTAATAATAATATCTCAGATTCACTTCACTAAAAAGTGAAGGGACATACCAGAATCATGTCACCTACAACCTATAAAAACGTTTACTTAAGCCTCTAAAACGTTTTCAGTTGAAGATATTTTTCTATTCTGCGATATACGTACCGAAAGCACCAGAAATTTTAATTATACTTCAATATAAATTTTGTCCATACCACCCACTTCTACTTGGAGGACAAAAAACCTCAAGGGCACTTGAAAGAATGGATTTGGGACAGACTTGTGCATCGCACAGGCTGTACATGTGCCATAAACAGTGAAATTACGTTATCGATCATACTGTTTTTTTAAATGAACTAATTTAGCTTAGCCACAGTAGCTCAATATACATTACATAGATTACAGGCCGACTGCACCTCAGTGACAAAGTTGATTAATAAACACATTTTTCACAATATTCGAATTCACATCTTGTCTACCGTGTTGATCAGACCACTGTAATCAAACCCATCCACTCTGTTGCCTGCATCTCAAAGAATTTTGAGTAAGAGGCGCTACTGAGTCCATATTACACCTTTAATGAGCCTGAAATTTTGGTCCGAACTCAAACACAGCCCACAAACTTTTTTGTCCAAGCCCAAATTGACATATGGCATCGTGTTTTGAGTCTGACACTGACCTGATCTTAAAACGCTGTTTCTGCACATACAACATATGGTAACACTTTCTATGAATGTCACGTTTGTAAGCATCTATAAACACATTCATAACATGTTATAATGCATTCATAAGGCATTATAAACATGGTTATAAATATTTATTAAAATGAATAACACAGAATTACACTTTATCGCCATGTTTATTATACATTATGATTTGTTAATATAATGCATTATAAGTGTTAATAACATGTTATACTGTCAGTGCCAAAGAAGTCAGCCCCAGCTTGGAGAGTGCAAAGACAAATACGAAGTTTATTTACAGGATTTCCAATATTTTATTTCCCAGCGCTGGAGCTGTTAGAGCTTCATCTTCAGGGCTTCAGTCCTGAATATTCAGATGCTCCCAACAGGCTGTCCAGCCTAGAATTACTGCTACAATGTGCTTTTCTTAACCAGCGCTCTCACTTTAAATGTTACATTACATCGCAGCAAACCAAGTACCCATCAGCCCCTCTCCGAACCCCCTATGACATCACAACCAAGTCAAGTCAAGTCAAATTTATTTATATAGCGCCTTTTACAACAGATGTTGTCACAAAGCAGCTTTACAGAGAATCCGGGTCCCCCAGTGAGCAAGCCTTGGCGACAGTGGCAAGGAAAAACTCCCTCAACAGGAGGAAGAAACCTCGAGAGGAACCCATCCTCCTCTGGTCGACACCGGATAACAGGACAGACACAAAACAGTATAAGTACAAGTCACTGTGGAGTGAAGGCCTGGAGAGGGAGAGGCGAGATAGCAAAGTGTTGTCATTGTAATTTGTTCCCTCACTGGTTCTAACATCAAGCGCTAGAACCCTTCACACTGTGCAACACCACTACACTACTGTACAGTAAGGCTAATTTCTGCTAGCATTCTATTGCATATGCAGTGTTAAGTTAGTGCCAAGCTAACGGTGGTGTACATTGACTTTCCCACACTGGGTAAAACACTGATGCAGCCCTAGTTTAAACTCTGACATTTGAAGCCTGTAATGTGCTTTACTGTGAATGTTTTAGTGTTTCAGTAAATCCTTCAGAACATACTTCAACTTGAAGCCTCACTCTGAACACTGGAGGAGGCTTTAGTACAGTACGCTTCACTTTACTTAGAACTTACGAGCTCTTATAATTTGTTATGAACAGTACTTATAATGCATTATGTTAACAATTCATAATGCATAATAAACATGGCTGTAACGTGTAATGCATTTTTATAAACATTTATAGCCATGTTTATGATGCCTTATGAATGCATTATAACATGTTATACTGTGTTTATAGATGCTTACAAAGGTAACATTCATAGAAAGTGTTACCCAACATACTACATAGAACATACTGACCACAATATTTTTGGCCAAACAAATTAAACATCCATTCAGCTGGACTAAACTCTACTTTCTTGAACCAATGCCCTGTTTATGTCCTGTTTTCTTATGAGTGCAGGCCTCATGAACCTCAGTGCTGGGTGGGTGATTCCAGCATGCCAGATTAAAAAACGATTTAAGGTAATGAAAGTAGTGAGAGGAAAAAATTGCAGGTAGAAATGCAGGGTCAAATCTGTTCTGAGTGGGAGGCGAGCTGCGAGAGATGCTGTCACGCTTGTGTCGGGTTTGGTCAGGTTCGGACAAACATTTCAAGCTCTAGTCCACATCGATGTGGCCCTTACCAAAGGCTGCAGTAAGGGTAAATAGAAGGAGTGCACTACTGAACACCGAAATGAGAAATGAGACACATGGCCTTGTGGAAATCACCACGAGGGCTCGTGTGAACAGAAGCACATTACCGTGAATGTTGAAGTATGTACTCCTATTGTTTCACAGACGAGTTTTCAGTTTTTATGAGTGAAACATGTCACGGTAGTGTATTTTATACATGATTCTAGTGGCATACCTCTCCAGAGAAGCTAAACAAACTGCTGCTCTGCATAAGCTGCTGCTACTGCCTCACAATGACGAGGCATGGCTGATGCAAAGTCCAAACACCGTCAGTAAAAGGTTGCCAATAATGTACTGGGTTTGAATGTGAGAGCTACATTAGCCTCATAGTAAGAAGTTAAAGAAGCAAACTCTAGACACCAAAAATGTCTTGTCAGTCCGACTGCATTTAAGATGAAGAGACAATTCTTCACCAAATTGTCACTTGAACTGTAAATCTAAGCTTTGACGTAGCATATTTTCTCTTATTAATAACTACACTAGCAGATGATTCAGATGATATTAAGAAAAAGATGCATTTTTCTACCGGTAATCTGTTCAGAGCAGTCAGTTTGAGAGATCACACCGAAGCACCTTTACTGGTCTGCACGTTTGTTTGAAACTCGTTGCCTGGCTCGAATAAACGCATGCCCGCTGCCGCTTGGCCGGCAAGGATACATGTCCCACCCTGGTTAGAGTTATGGGCCGATATTCTCCACTCCCAGTGCTGCACAGTAAAGCACACGTCAGTGTTTTCCCTCCATGACTCATATAATGTACAAATTTGTTGATTTGGGACAGGAACCCTTCGGGGTGTCTTTCCCAAAGCAGGATTTCTCAATAAGCTGGAAAGACGAGGCAACCGCAATGAAATCACAGAAATATGTAACAGACATGGACATATGAGACATGGTCATTATAAATTATCATAAATAAAATAAAAACAAGAGAAATGTCTTTTTTTGGGGTACTGTTATATATATATATATATATATATATATATATATATATATATACACACACATGAATATATATATAATTTTCCATTTACTTAAAATGGAAAGTACCGACAGTATTAACGATGCTCAAAAAAGTCATATTGTGACTTAATTTATCAAAAAAAAATGAAATATTGCCATATTGCCCATCCTTATTTGTACATGAAAATGGAGTTTTTAGAAATCTCCAAACTGGAGAAAAGCAGTTTTCAAAAGATTCAGTCTTCAGTCACCGAAAATGAAGTTTTTGTGAGTTCGGGAGTCCAAAAGAGAAAAAAAAATATGTACATTTAAAAATAAATAAATAAAATAAATAAATTTAAAAATGTCTGGGATATATGTGAACAGAGTCTGAAACTTATTTTCATTGGTTAATGTTAGCTAACCTGCTTGTTTTTTGCTGCATTCTTGTAACTTAGCTGGCAATGATAGTCATAGTCTAGCTACACCCATATTTTCATTAGCTAATGTTAGCTAACCTGCTGGTTAGGGACCAGTTTTGTTGTTCTAGCTAATAATATTGGCTAGCCAGCTTATTTCTATTGATTGTAGCTAACTTATTTCTGTTATTATGCTATTGGTAGCTTAGCCTGCAGTGTTCGTCCAAGTCCAGCTGCAATCATTTTAATTAGATAATGTTGGCTAACCTGATATTGTTGGTTAGGCACCCCTTTTTTCTTCTATCTAATAATTGTGGCAAGCTAGTTTATTTTTTATCATTGTAAATAGCTAACATATCTCTTTTGTCCAGTTAATAACTTATCTTGTAATGCTAGTGCTACGCTAGCCACATTTTCATTAGTTAATGCTAGCTAATCTGCTAATGCTGAAGGAGAGCAGAGAGGCAAGGCATCATAAGGTCATCCGAATTGCTCCTTAAGCCAAATGTAGGAACGTTCTTGGCCTCTTCAGGGCAGGATTGACTTTTACTGCAAGTATCTAGCTAACTGAGAAATCCTACTCTGTGAAAACTCCCAGGATTGAGATTAAGGAAAGCTATTATACCTCATTGAATACATATGGACACACATGTATTTTGGAGTGAGGTCGGCCCTGCTTGTTCTACAGGTTGTCGTTCAGGTTTAAATGGCCATATCTGAGCTCAGATCAGCTATTCTGCTCTCTGCTGTTTGATAACATTGACCCATGGGTTGCTTGAGTATGAGTTTAAACGCGTTTTTGGCTGAAACTGGGCACTTTTTTGGCCTTTTGCAGCTAATCTATTACTGACCCTGATATTATACACTCACTGTCCGTTTCATTAGAAACCCCTACTCACTTTATGAGCTCCACCTGCCTTATAGATTCACTATATAGGTGTACAGTTACAGACTGTAACTCATCTGCCATCTGCTTCATTCATCATTGGTCAGTTTGGGTTCAGAGTAGCTCTGTGGCCAGAAACTGACCACTGATGAAAGACCAGAGAATGGCTAACAGATGGGAAACAGTCCCTAACCGTGCACAAGCAAGGTGGAGCTATGAGGGAGGGGTTTCTGAAGTAGCTGGTGAGCATATCGCTGTTGTCGGAGGAAAACCTCGTATCTCCATTTTTGACGTTTTTCAGTTTTTGACATAATTTGAAAATACCTGTTGCCCTTTACATTGTATGTAAATTTCATAGTGAATAGGCTAAAAGAAATGACCCAAAATGACTTGGAAAAAAGTCTGGTTCCATTGACTTACATTAAAAGTAAAGTAAGTTTTTTCCTTCTCCTGTAAAGTTACTGTTTTGGAGATACGAGGTTTTTTATCCTACAACAGTGATATGTCAGTATTCTAATACTCATGTTGTATCAGTATTATAACTCACTGGCTTTGATGTGACATTTTTGTCTCAATAAAACTGTGCGTTTGTGCTTTGTCTTATTATTTTCTCTGTGTGTCTTTGCGTGTTATGCATGCATGTTTACTGGAACTCTGCTTTGCTAGTCTTGCTGATGGCTTTGCATTGCGCCTGTAGTGTTTGTGCATCAAGTTTTCTTCTAGGAGTCCGTGAATGTGGTCACACAGTCGACACCTTTCCGTGCTCACTTGCTTCACCTGGGACTGACAGCTCTCCATGTTGTTCTTGCATATTATGGTGAAATGTTGTGTAGATTACTGTAGCTCACAGTAGATGTACTGTAGTCTTAGCATCAATGTTAGTTGTGGTACTGCACTGCTGCTTTCAGACACTGGGACACATGGTGAAGGGAATTCCTTTACTCTCTCTCTTTTTCCTCCATGTTCGTGTCACCTGCCGGGCACCCCCTCCCTCAAACCCTCCCCTCCTACCTCCCTCCCTCCCTCAAACCCTCCCCTCCTACCTCCCTCCCTCAAATCCTCCCCTCTTACCTCCCTCCCTCAAACCCTCTCTCTTTCTCACTGTCCACCCTATTTATCTCTCTCTGTTCCTTCCTTCCCTTGTCCTCTACCTCTGTTTCCCTCCCTCCTTTCTTTCCTTCTTCCCTCGTCCCTTATTCCCTCCGTCCCTTGTTCCCTCCTTCTGCCATTGCTTCTCCTTTCTTGTCACCACCCTCCCTCCCTCATTCCCTTCCTCACTTCTTAACTCACTTCTTCATTCCATCCTCCCTCATTTCCTCCCTCCCTAACTCATTTCATCATTCCCTCCCTCCTTCCCTCATCCTCCTTCCTTCTGTAACACCCTTGTTTTCTCCTTCCCTTGTTTACCTCCATTGTTGCCTTTCCTACCTCTCCATTTCCTGGCCTCATTTCCTCCCTCCTTACCTGATTTCCTCCCTCTCTAAACTCACTTTTTTCCTCCATCTAACTCTCATTTTCTCCTCGCTCTCTCCTTTCTTTCTCACCACCCTCCCTCCCTCGTTCCCTTCCTCATTTTCTGACTTCCTGCCTCGCTTCTTCATTCCATCCCCTCTGATTCCTCCCTCCCTACCTTATTTCCTCATTCCTTCCCTCCCTTCTTCCCTCGTCCTCCTTCCTTCCCTAACACACTTGTTTTCTTATTCCCTTGTTTACCTCCTCCCTATGTCCCTACCTACCTCTTCCCATCCTGGCCTCATTTCCTCCCTCCTTACCTGGTTTCCTCCCTCCCTCCTTCCCTCATTCTCTTCTTCATTCTCTCACCTCTCGCCTCACCTTCATTCCCTTTTCCCTCCCTCCCTAATTCATTTCCTCATTCCCTCTCTCCCTTGTTCTCCTTCCTTCCCTAACACCCTTGTTTCCTCCTTCCCTCGTTTACCTCCCTTGTTCCCTATGTCCTTACATACCCCTTCCTTTCCCTACCTCATTTACTCCCTCCTTACCCTTATTTCCTCTCTCCCTACTCCCTTCTTTCCTCCCTTTCCTTCCCCACACTCCTCATTTCCTCCCTCCTTCATTTTCTCTCTTCTTACCTCCCTCTCCCATTCCCTAACTCCCCTTCCTCATTTCCTCCCCTGCCTCTCTTCCTCATTCACTTGTTCCCTACCTCCCTTATTTCCTCCCCCCATTCCCTCACTTGGTCCCACTCTCTTTTCTGTACCTCTCTCACTCCCTACCACCTTCATTTCATCCCTCATTCTATCCCTCGTTCCCTCTCTCCTTCCCCTCCTCCCTTACCCCCTGTTCTCCTCTCTGCTGGCCGTGTAGCCGAGGCTCCTCAGGTGCGTGAGGAAAGGGGCGCTTGTTTCCGTCTGGTCGGCCCAGGTGCTCAGTGCTTGCACCCAGTGTCCACTCAGCTGAGTAAGCAGCTGTGTTGTTGCAGCGTGGGGAAAGCCTGGGGCCCACACTGCGATCGCTGCCCCCTGCCTGGGACAGGTAAGCTCCCGCTGGACTCAAATACACCCCTCACCCTCCTCCAGGGTCTGGTCCAATCACTCCTCCCCTCTCCTCTCTTGACTCCCACTCTGCTATCGTCTGTCTGCATGTGTGTGCCACCCTCTGCTACGTAGATGCTTCTACACGCCATCACTGGTTTTAGTGTCGCCTTCACTTTTTTCCATATGTCATTCTTTCCCTGTGTGTGTGTGTGTGTGTGTGTGTGTGTGTGTGTGTGTGTGTCTGATTTTAATTGATTTTTCATTCAGTTTTATCTATTAAAAGTATTGTAAACATGCTTACATTGTATTATAAGCAAATACATGTGATATACATTACTCTCCTTAAAAACAGGTAAGAATATTGTGATTTATTTATTGTCTCATTTTTTATTTTATATTCTATATTGCTGGGACAATGGTCAGTCATTCTGTCATTGTCTTCTTTGAATTAGTGATGCACCGAAATTTTGGCCACTGAAAATTTTAGCCAAAACTGATCAAAAGTGACACTTTCAGTTTTTGGCCTAAAGTGGAAAAAGACTGAGAATTTTACCCAAAATATTATATACGCCACAAAGTGTCTGACAAGAATTAATCATATTAAAGGCAATAAAAACGAGAAACAGTGATTAAAAACGCTGTTCCCTTCACCGGTCAGCATGTTCACATTCAAAAAGAGCTGCAGTGAACAACAAAGTCAACAGTACAATTGTTGGCCATGTGGAACCATTTCCTGGGTTCTAGGATTGAAATTAGAGATTTGTAATCACTCTTCATGCCAAGTATCGAGAGGAAGTTCAACACCAGAGAACTTCTCCATCACAGGTTTGATACCATGTTGAACACGATGTCCCACTTGACCAAAATAATTGTGGTTTTTGAGGTACTCGAGAAGCCCTAGTCCAGGGATCGGCAACCCAAATGTTAAGAAGAGCCATTTCAGTCCACTTTGGGAGCCACAACATTTTATGTCCATTTTAACATATTGGCTGTAAATTTGTCTCAGTATGTGCTGATGTGCTAATATAGACTAAAAAATATGATATAAACGAAAACACAGACTTACTTTGCTCTGCTTTAAGCTTTAGCTCAGCTGTAGCTGCTTTTCTCACATCTCCGACAGGAAACCGATCCTCAAAAGTAGAGCAGTTTCTTGTAAAATGTCTCTTAGTGTTCAACTTTTCAACTTTTCTTGTTCTAATTTTCCCGATCCACCCTAAATGGTGCCTGAGGTGCCAGAATGTAACTGCTGCACTATTTAAGGTGGAACGGGAAAATTTGAACAAGAAGCTGATTACAGCATCGCGACTTTTTAGTGTTTGACAATTTCTCTTTCAGGTTAAACGTATCAGGAAACCAGCTGGAGTGATTATAAATGCAATGCAAGTCCACCTGTCTCCAAAGTATCAGTTGTTCTTTGATTGCTCATCTTAAATCTCTTTGCCTTTTCGTTAGCTACTAGCTAGACAAGACCATAGTCTGCATTGCTGTGGTGACCAGCAGTCTTCGCACCAACCTTCAGGGTTAAAGGGTGAATTAGCAGTTCTACATTAACTCCATCATTTAAGACCATTTATTGTTTAAATTGTGTTGAACGATCAGCAGAGCTTTATTTTATTGCAAAAGAGGATTATTTTATTTTTACCTGTTGTGGAGCCGCAACAGGGCAGTAAAAGAGCTGGGTGTTGCCGACGCCTGATCTAGGATACTGTACCTACCGTTATAATGTTACTCTTTTTATTAATGCTACTCTTTTGATTAATTGTCAGCTCTGATTTGTCATATTGGCAACCAGACTTTTGGGTCTTTTTACACTTTATTCAAAAGCAAAATAAAAGCCAAAAAATTTTCAGTTTCAGTTTTTGTCCCGAATTTCAGTTTCAGCCAAGAACTTTCATTTCGGTGTATCACTAGTTTGAATGTTCATGTGTTCGTTTGTAGTAACACACATGCTGTCAAGAACAGCTGTGTCTGATAGTGAGCGCGATTCTTTGTACTGTAACTTCCATTCCTCGTTATCCATTATGATTTTGCCGTTTAAAAGAGGAAACTCAGGAAGTCTGTGTTTGCAAAGTGCTACATGCTGTTGTGGTTGGCACCTTCTTTTAATCCGCTGGACGCAGAACAAAAGAGCCTTGACGTTTCCACACCCTTCATCAGCTCACTGGTGGGAGTTTCTGTTTGGTCTTATTACAAAAGATTTACTTTGTACTTTAGGGAAGAACATTCTCCAGGAATGGGAGTGATGCAGTTCATGCTCAGGATCCTGTGATCAGGACCTTCTGAGGGTTTCTTATAGGGCTGCATTAACGTGTCCAAAAGTTTGTAGACACCTGCTTATGAGCACCTCTTCTGAAATCAAGGGCATTAATAGAGCATCTGTTCCCCTTCTGCAGCAGCAACAGCCTCCGCTCTTCTGGGAAGACTTTACACTACATGGAGCATTGCTGTGAGGATTTGATTGCATTCAGCCACAAGAGCATTAGTGAGGTCAGGTACTGATGTTGGGTGATTTGTTCAGCCACTCCAACTCAATTAGAAGGGCTGTCTGGATACTTTTGGACATGGTGTGTGTTGTGCAGCCCTAGTTCCACACTTACATCCCATTGAAAGACAAGTTAAAAAAAAAAAAAAACATAAATCTTCATCAGTTCATTGTTCTTCGTCCTGAGCAAACAATGCAGGTTCTTCTTCCATGTGGAAGCTGTTGAGATGTTTGAATGAAAGGCTTAATTGTCAGATCCTTACTCACCATTGTTTCATTGCATGAGCTGTCTGACCCAACTTCGCTGTCCAAACCATAATCCCAAATGACCGTTGTCCTGGATTACGCTCGGGCCTGCTTCCAATCCAAAGAAAATCACGCCCTACTCAATTCTCCTACTCCCTTCCACTTTGGGATCCAAGACAGTGTTGACTTTAGATGTCTAAAATTATTATTATTGGTCTGCTGTTCATGATTTACATTGCATAATAACTTTTATGAAATTACACAGTTACATGTAATGATTAAACTAAAGGTTGTATGGTTTAGACATTTCTGGAAATAAGACTGCATGCACTATATATATGTAAATACATAGGGCATGCAGTCTTCTCAATTAGAACTCAATTAGCAGTGTCTGGGGTGCCTTTCCATACGACTGTATATACTCTAGTAGTTCACTGCTGGACACCAAAAAGCATCCGTTTCAAATTGGAATAAAACATATTTTGAGGACATTTCAACCATGGACTTGGGTCTGCCTGAGTAGGAGTGTCTAGGGGAAGTGAGAAGAGGGTTACAGGAACAGGCAATGCCATATTTTCCAGTACTGCATTTCATAAACACTATCTCTGTGTCTCTTAGCTGCGTTTAAGGAGATATGTCCTGGCGGCATGGGCTACCATGTCACCACTCCATATGTCTACAAGCCCAAACCTCCCCCAGCCAACCCCTGGAACCAGCCAGACAGCCATGGGCAGCCCAAGCCCACAATCAAGCACCAGGAACCTGTGCCGGGGGTCCTGCCCCTGCCCTTCCCTACGCTGCAGCAGCCCGTGGAGGCTTTCAGCTTTACCGAGAGACAGCTGCCCGTTGTGCCAGGTAAGCTTGGAACGATGTCAATAAACAACTTCTAAATCAAGAAGAATGGCAGTTCTACAACGAGATACAAGTAATTATGTGGGTTGTAAGCACATAGTAATAGCTTTTAACACTTTTAATTGTATGCTTATTGTTTAGTTAGGGTAACTGCAGTGAAACATATATTATCGCTGTCAAATCAAAACCTCCTAACTCATTTGTTTTTGAGAGGGTGGAGGAGGGTTTAACACCTCTTGGAAACACCAGCTGCCCTTTACACTGACATTTCATGACAAATAAACCAATAGAAATGGTCTGATTTTCATTAATTTACATTAACATACTTTACAGTAAAGAAAGTTGTTTTTGCAAGTTCCCAGCGCTCCCACAGCCATCCGTAAGTCCAAGTCCTTTCTGTCTCCGGGTGGGCAGGATGAGTATAATACAGTATACCTGGGGCCGTATTACAGAAACTTCCTATCTTTTCGTCCTAACTTAAGATCTCACAGGTCAAGATTTTTCACAAATTCGTATTACAGAAGCAAATCTTATCTTACAGCATCTTATCTTATCTCAAGTTAGGAAATCTTAACTTACTCGATGGAAGTCGACAATCAACTGTCGTGTCTGTTACCTAGCAACCGACCATACGTGCACAGCTGAAACGTAAACACGTAATCAAGTAAGTTAGCCAGACAGCTAACGTTAGCTACCGTTACTAAAAAAGATCAAATAAAACTAAAGCATAAACTGAAAGTTAAGAATATTGTTTCAGCGCTTTGTGCTGTTTATCAGAGCGTCGCCGTCTCCAGTTTCAGTTTCAGTCTCCCAAATGCTTTAGCTGAGCGCTAACGTTATTCCTCCTAATAAACAGACACACATTCAGTGTATGTTGATATACAAACTCAGTTCTCACTAGTGCTAAAGTGAGGATCAGGACTAGAGCTAGGGTCAGTTTTTAGATTGAGGTTAAGGTTTTAGGTTTAAGGTGACGAGTTTGGTTGGTGAGCATTTACACTGGACCATCAAGGTGAAGTGCTAACTAATTTAGCTTCTGTTATACAGGAGATTAGCTTATTGAGGTCCGAGCTTACTCATAGACCACCCCCCACAAACACAGACACAATGAACCTGCACAAACAATTGAACTACATTTCAGCAGAACAGCAAAATTATTCAGACTTGTTTATCTGGGAGGTCGGATGTCCCTTGAACTTGAACAGCCCATTTTGGCCTTTAGACGTGACCAACACTTTGAAGTGCTGCAGTCTGCTCCCAGTTTCTGTCTCTCTTTTTGTCTCTGTCTCTTTCACCTCACGCACATTTTCTCGTTCTCTTTCATACACACACATTATCACATCATTGCTTGGCACTGAACAAAGAAAAATGAGCTGGCATTGAAGAAGAGCATAGACTTCAGTACATGACTGCCAGTTTTTCTATTGTGCTCTATGGACAATGAATACATGGGACAGCTCTCTCTGTCTTACTCTCTCTCTCTCTCTCTCTCTCTCTCTCTCTTCTCTCTCTCTCCTTGTCTGTATCATACAAATGTCCCATACAAATGTATCATTTTATACACATATTTTACATATGTATATATATGTATATATATATATATATATATATATATATATATATACATATATATATCGCTGCTGTCAGAAGAAAACCTCCATTTTTGTTGTTTTTCAGTTTTTGACATAATTTTAAAATACCCATTGTCCTTTACATTGTATGTAAATTTCATGAAGAATGGATCGAAAGAAACAGCCCAAAATGACTCGGAAAAAAGTCTGGTTCCATTGACTTACATTAAAATTAAAGTATGTATTTTCTTCTCCTGTAAAGTTACCATTTTGGAGATACGAGGTTGTCTATCGACAACAGTGTATATATATATAGTTACTTAGTTAGTTACTTAGTTAGTTATATAAATCCACACACACTATATGGGAAAAAGACTACACATTGCACCCATATGAGCTGTTGGACTCCCCATTCCAAAATCATGGGGAATAATGTGGCTCCCCGTTTGCAGCTATAACAGCCTCCACTATCCTGGGAAGGCTTTCTGCAACACTTTGGAGTGTGTCTGTGCACCATGCTGTCATTAAAACACTATATTACAGTTACCATCATTTTTGGCATGCAGTGTTGAAATGACCTTAAATTAGCTGAAGAATGCAGACTGGCTTGTTTTGGACTCAAAGATTAGAACTTGGGATTCGACTTAGGACTTGCCTGTCTTGACTTTACTTGTAATTTAGTAAACTTAATTGCCATCTCCGGCTGCTCGCCATGGAAGCCCATTTCATGAAGCTCCTGATGCACAGTTCTTTTGCTGATGTTGCCTCCAGAGGCAGTTTGGAGCTCTGAGTGATGCAACAGAGGACAGGCACTGTGCACTTCAGCTCTTGGCGGCCTCTGTGAGTCTGAGCGGTCCACCGATTCGTGGCTGAGCTGTTGTTGCTCCTAGTCACTTGCATTCCACAATAATAGCACTTACAGTTGACGGGGGCAGATCTAGCAGGACAGGACTTTCACAAACTGACTTGTGGCACAGGTGGCATCTTATGACAGTGCGTATACATGCACTCAATAATCCGATCCTAATCGGATTTCTGCAGTTATCCGATTATTCAAATGGTCACATAAACACCATATTCCGATCTAGAAATCCGATTAAGAAATCCGATAAAGAGAGCTGGATTTTAGCTCAGTAATCAGATTTCTCAGCGCGTGTATACTCATAGTCCGATTTCTATCAGATTTCTCAGTCACAACAGACGGTGGATGTCGTGAGACGCAGCAACACACTTTTGGAGCAGCGTTGAAACTGAACAAGAAATAAAGGATTTAAATATTCTTCGTCTTCTAAATGATGTAAGTTCATATTTTCAGGTAAAGTGGCGCGATGTTTAAAAAACCCGGCACTTTGCGTTCCGTTTACGTCACATCTTCTTCTATGAGTTTATTGGCTGGTAGCAAAGCAGAAATCTGATTATTGCCTGACTCATGTAGACCCGGAGTTTCCCCATTGTCTGATTACTCAAGTGCATGTAAAGGTGCTAATCGGATTACTGACAAAATCTGATTTTCTGCAGTCATCAGATTTTTAGTGCATGTAAACACACTCATTGTCTTCAGTACAACCCACTTTGCTGCCAGTGTTTGTCTATGGAGACTGCAAGGCTGTGTGCTTTATTTATTTTATCTGTTAGTAACGGGTGTGGTTGAAACACCAACTCGATAATTAGGAGGAGTGTCCACATACTTTTGGCCATATAGTGTATGCGTGTACATATATATTGCTGCTGTCGGAAGAAAACTTTGTATCTCTGTTTTTGTCGTTTTTCACTTTTTGACATAATTTGAAAATGTCTGTTGCCCTTTATATTGTGCGTAAATTTCATGATGAATGGACCAACAGAAACGGCCCAAAATGACTTGGGAAAAATTCTGTTTCCATTGACTTACATTAAAAATAAAGTATGTTTTTTCCTTCTCCTGTAAAGTTACCATTTTGGAGGTACGAGGTTTTCTTCCGACAGCAGCGATATATAAGTATGCATGTGTTAATATGCCCTATACTGCTATATAAATGAAGTAAATGAAGGATCTCTAAGTTTTGTATAATACTATTTATGTAAGTAACAATATATCCTAAGAACTCTAACCATAACCTCAGTAAACTAAATATTTTTACTCTTTCAGTTTAAAAAATTTAAACATTGAGCTTTTGTAAAAAATCCCTTTACAAAGTTTTTCTGTTTTTCCTACAGTCAGGACATTTTGAAAATGTATAAAAACCAACTCCGTACATCAGCACATTCATCAGCATAACAGTCAGCCACCTTTAAGATCTACCAGAATGAGTCAGTCCTATCGACTTTAGTGTCTTTAAATGACAGCCAGTCCCAGACACTCTATGCAACTGTGTTTTCTCCCTTCACACTCTTGAACAATACGCACCATACAGCTTTTACTACCGTTCTCTAAAAAGCAGTCCATAAAGCTTTTGTGCTGCTGAAATACGAGGCGGCCTTGGCTTTAAGCGCAAACGTTAGTGGGATGGCTGCGACTTTTATTAACATTTCATCCCTAGGCAGTAATTTCACAGCTCAAAGTCATATTCAGACGGCTCAAGGTGATGCTCCCACTGCTTCGTGAAAGGAATGGTTTTATAATGTGTAACCCAAAGGGTAACTTTTAAACCATATGCCTGTTTTGGATCTCCTAAGTCAGATTTCAAGAAGTTTTAGTTCGTTTTTACAGTTTGAAGTGTAAAAACCTCACAGTGCGAAAATGTGTGTGAATGCCAGCTGATGTATGTGAGAGGCCTGAACCCTTATGTTCTGTTTTTGTGTGATTTCTTATTGAATTATGGTGTGCAGTGGCCACAGCAGCCCCGGAGCAGGTAGGTTGGGTTCCCTCTGCCCATAAAAAGGCCTTATGCACCTGCGCAGCAATGAAGCAGCAATGCATGTCCCAACGCAGCAAGCCGACACGAAGCAGGATTCCATGCAGCATGAGGCCGGCATCATCACCGCTGCATGAGGCGGCCATGCTAAATACGCAGCGTTCAGCTCCTGTGGAGCGTTTGTGTGTGTGTGTGTGTGTGTGTGTGTGTGTGTGTGTGTGTGTGGGTGTGTGTGTTTATGCTTTGTATTCGTTCCTTTCTTGCGTATGGATGAGATGTTTGTGAGTGATATTGTAAAATAGGAATAGAACATATTAAAGAAACACTTTGGTAAAAAATCTAGGTAACACTTTCTATGAATGTCACGTTTGTAAGCATCTATAAACACATTCATAACGCTATAATGCCTTCATATGGCATTATAAACATGATTATAAACATTTATAAAAATGAATTACACTTTATAGCCATGTTTATTATACATTATGAATTGTTAATATAATGCATTATAAGTAGTGTTGATAACATGTTATAATGTCAGTGCCAAAGAAGTCAGTCCCAGCTTGGAGAGCGTAAAGTAAAGACAAATACCAAGCTA